CAAGGTGTATATATAATTTAAAAAAATTAAATATATATATAGCACCAAATTGCAAATAATCTATAACTACTGTCACTTTTCACATTGAACATGTGCTCTTTTATTAAATAAACTAAACACTTTCATTTTAAGTTGTGAGCTTAGTGTTTTTGACCCTAAGAAACACTGATGCATTAATCAATAACAATAATCCACAGCTCCTCTCTCTGCTCCAGAGGATTTAAAATATATATCCCAATGCCACAAAAATGCATCAGTTACGTGGTTGAAATCTTGTCTCCAGAAAACAAAAAACTGAAACAAGCGGTATCAGTGACTATGTGTTTGATGTGGCTCTTTGCAGTAACATAGAAAAAATGTGGCTCTTAACCTCTGACTGGTTGTCCACCCCTGATCTAAAGTAACAGACAGAGAATCACTACTTTGGAAACAGGTCTGAAACAGAGGGGATTATGGGTAATGCTGCAATGATCTGTTTGGTGTTTGGAGCCAAACACTTCAGAGACAGGTTCTGTATATATCTGAGACCTGTAATATATTGATGAAAAACAGTATAATAGGGGACCTTTAAAAACACGCTAACCACACACGTTAGGGGCCAGGTGAGTGTTGTGTAACGTGTAGTGTGTGTTACCTCGGTACATGATACAGCGAAGGGCTTCGGAGGCGTAGGTCTGAGGCAGAGCGAGGCTGAGGTAGCGGAGAGGATACGGGATACACTCCACCGGCCAGATGATACCTGAGCACAGGACAGGAGTTACACATGTACAAGAACTCTTATAATACAGTGTTTATATTCAAAATACCCCCCATTAAGCACTCAAACTATATCTGGTTTCCCTTTTCTTGAATTCACTTGTTTATAGCAATAACAAATATACAATCCACAGAATTGTATATTATTTGAATGAGCAGTGCTTTATTTCCCTGTACAGTTACCTAGCGTACCTACTCCTGCATTTTTACCTGCAGAAATGAGCATTTGCTCTATTCTTTTGTACTTTTATGTATTAAGTATATTGTATGCTGCATCGTTAGAAGAGCTTAGGACTTCAGATTTTTTTATTGTCAACAAATACGCTGTAGATATTGTGCATATGACAACAAAGCTTTTGAATCTTTGAACTTGAATCTTAAATATTTTTGATTTGTAATGAAAAGAAAACATGCAAGGAAGTTAGGAAGTGGCAAAAATTCCCTATAAAATAATCTCACCACAGGGTCCTTTCAAATTTCCATTTTCTTTTTCCTGACCACTTTAAGGACTTCTGGGGTTCAAAGACGCAGATCATGTGATAGTAGGAAATTCCCTTAACAGCTACAACAGGGTTCTTATGGTAAGATGTTCTTAATTGCTATTTCCAAATTAAAGAACAATCTTCAAACTTAGGCTTCAGAGTCAATAATGGAAGATTTATTCTTCAGAGTCTGCTTAAGTGGCTGGTTTCACTGAAGGGTCGACAGTTTATTGATCTCACACACACACACACACACACACACACACACACACACACACACACACACACACACACACACACACACACGCTGCAGGCCTACCGCTGAGGATGAGGTTGGGGTAGAAGATGCCGAGGGCGGCCTGGTTGGCGTTCTGCTCGTCGTCGATGGCGGCGGAGATGACGAGGCCGAAGGAGATGCCGGTGACGCCCTGCAGAACGATCAGAACTATCACCAGAAACAGGGAGCCTTCGTTAGGCATCTGCAGAGAGGGGGGAGGGGAGAAGAGTGAGAGAAGATACAACAAAGAGGCTGTTTTCATCCACAAAACTGCAGAGGACCTAAAAGTGGGTAGAAATAAAATGTACACATTATTGTTACATGCATGTAGTGCAGGGGTTTGGAAGAAGTGAGACCTCTGCAGCTGTGAGCGCATTAAAACCAAATGTTGCATTGTGGGAAATGTAGGCGCCAGGATTTAACAAAGAAGATAAATCACAAAAATCCATGTGAGTAAATACAATATCTGTGGTTCTGCAGAATCAAATTAGATTTTATACTATCTGTCGTAAGTCAAGCTTCAATGATAAATCAGTGGATAACTCCTTTAAGGACCACGGAGAACATAAGATCAAGAAGAAACGCAGAGCCAGATAAAGGGAACACAGAGACAGAAACGCTCTGATGCTCTGCACTGATAGAGGGCTAAAAATACTGCAAGGAATAAAAAGAGAAATGTCACGGCAGATTAAGTTTGGTTGTAAATCCCACAGACGGAGGGGAGGCGTCGCAGGAGATAGGAAACTATTTTAAATCAAATAAACACACAGAGAAATTTCTCAAGATTAAAGGTGATAACTCTCTTAACTGCGAAGAATCTGCAGGCGTTTGTAAGACTGTGTGTGTGCGTGTGCGTGTGCGTGTGTGTGTGCGTGTGTGTGTGTGTGTGTGTGTGTGTGTGTGCTGGTGCACTTGTCCCCGGTGTGTCAAGACACTATCCGTCTCCCCTGACAACGTGCAAAAATAGACCTGCACCGATAGTCCACATGACCGCTCAGTTGCCAAAGCAATCAAGGGCTGTTGTCGTGGCGATCCCGCAGTGATCCCTGGATACGGCTAAAGCAGGAAGTGATTTATGTGGTGGTGGTCTCTTTGGACTTCAGCACCTTAATCAACACACGCATGGACACACACACACTGACAGATGGAGACGAGGGCAGACACCCATAAATACACACACACACACACACACACACACACACACACACACACACACACANACATGGCCACATTCTCAACAAAGTAACGATATGACTCCCAATATTAATTGAAATGCTTTTATAGATTTAGAAAATGTTTTTATTTACTATTTTTTAAATCAATAAAAACATTTTCTAAATCTATAAAAGCATTTCAATTAATATTGGGAGTCATATCGTTACTTTGTTGAGAATGTGGCCATGTAATAAGCGGGATAGTGGGAAAATAACACCTTTCATGCAGATCTAGACCCCTCCGCTTCACGTCGGGCTCCTGATCAAAATTAGACGGCGCTGTCATCCTCTCATACTGACACCTGACACCACACATACACACGTAGGGAGAGCCGGGACGAAAGTAACGGAGCAATTTTATCCGAGCCCAAACAACTTTGACCGGCCAAATTACGTCAGAATTATAAGCATTCAATACTTAACAGACCTACTAAATATCAGGAGTAGTGTTGTCACAATACCAACATTTTGGTGTCGATACCGATACCAAGTCAATAATTCCGATTATTTTTCGATA